CCCCCCCCCCCCCCCCCTGGTGGATTGGTCCACTCATTCATGCATTCATTCATACGGACGTACGGACACGCATGGCATGGACTCATATGGTGACTGACCAAATATCAAAAAACATGGAGCGAGGTGAGTGAGGTGGATGGATCGAAAATGCACAATACACAATACACGTAGACACACATACGGAGGAGAGGCCGGCCCACCAGGGGTCAAAATTGGCCGGCACTCCACACTCGCACTCGCACTCAACTCACACCGACACTGACTGACCGGAAAGGACACATTAAACCCACCCGCCCCCATTTCATTCATTCATTACACTCTCATGTAAACCAACCGGGGACATATGGATGGATGGAAGGATGCGTAGATGGATGTGTGTGCAAGGAGTGAGTGAGTAAAAGCCGCGAGTGGGAGCGTTAGATATCCAAGCAGGCCGGGGGGGAGGGAGGTAAGCAAGGCGAGGAAGCGAAGGGAAGGGAAGGGCAGGGGGCGGAGAAGGCACGTGAACGCCCGTTATGGAATGAATGTTACGTACATGCATATGTATGTGTGGATATGGTCTGTCTGCCCACGTATACATGGAGACTTACGCACCTGTCGTTCATTAGCAAGGCAGCACACACACACTCACACACACCCAGACACTCTCATTCACCCCACACAAAGCAAGCATAAGCCAGTCGTCCTGTGTGAGTGTCTCTGCAGCAGCAGCACCCACCAGCCGCCAAAAAGGGCCGACAGGTACTCACACAGACAGACAGACAGACAGGGAGACAGACAGGCCACATCACACACGCTGAAGGCAAGAGTGACCAGTGCTAGACAGTGAGGGAGTGAGAGCGTCACGATTAGACCATGGTCGAATTGAGAATACACCAACAAACGTCCAAACCAAACAAGCCAGTCAGACAGTCAGTACTAGTGAGTGACTGAGTGAGTGGCAAACAAAAATAGCGGACAGACAGACAGACAGACAGACAGACAGACAAGCAGACAGACAACCAACCAACCAGCCAGCCAGCCAGCCAGACGTTCCTTCCTTCATTGCCAGGGTGAACCGTGGTGTGATGTGCCGTGTGTGCAGGCAGTGTCGTATGAAAGACGCGACGCCAAACACCAAACAGACATTCAGTCAGACAGACAGACAGACATTCGACAACAACACACACGTACACGCAATCAGCCATGCCATGCCATCGAACCTTACCTTACTTACCATCCTCAGAAGAAAAAGATGCAAACAGGTCGGTCGGTCGGGATCGGTCAGGCACTTGAGCAACACACACACACACACACACACAGACGAAAGGCTCGTACAGGCATGCAAGTCAAGAAAAATGGGCATCTCGGTGACCCCCTCCCTGACTCCCTGCCTTTCTTCTGGGTGGATGGATGGATGGACGGATGGATGGATGTCATCCACTCACTGCTACGGTGCATGGAGGAAGGAGGTAACGTACCATGGGTGGGTGAGAGGAGGGAGGGGGACACCTGTGTATGGTCTGTGTGGTCCTCAATTACGTACTTAGGTGGTGGAAAAAGATGGATCGATGTCATGCATGTCAGCTGGCATGCATGGATGGATGGATGGATGGATGGAGACATCATATACACGTACGTGTAGGCAGGTCAGGCCGATTCGCACCTCTCCTGTCTGTCCCCTTCGAACATCGATCCACGCAAGCAAACCAAGCGCAAAAATACGGTAGCCATGCATTCATCCACCCACCCGTCCATTCACGGCAGCCATGCCTCGGTCATCCACGCAGGTACGCACGCATCACCATCACCACACGCAAGCAACGCTCGGCCATACTTGCTTTCGTCCTTTGAAACGGTCGGCGATTTGAAAACAGGCCCCATACACACGCATACACACAGACGCAAGCACTTACAGACAAGACAAGACAAGAAGACAGTCCCTACCAAGTGTGGAGTCAGAGAGAGAGAGAGAGAGAGGAAGATCGACACAGCGCAAGCAAGTTCCCTGTGTGAAAGTAATCCTTCCTTTCTGTCTTCAGAGGCTTTCCTTCGTTCCTTCGTGCTAACCTCCCCCTCCCACTCGCCCATCCATCCATCCACCCATCTGTCCGTCCACTGACTCAGCGACCAACCAGCCAGCAACACAGTCCGCACCACATCACTCACTCACATCGCACGTCAGCCGGCCAGCCAGCCAGGCACCACACACCGACTTCGCTCGCACAACCATACAAAATGTACAGATGGATCGATCAATCGCTCAGTACGGCAAAAAATGGCTCGCATGTGATGGATGGCATGTGCTATGCTATCTGTGCTGTCATGTCCTGTGCTGTCCTGTGCTGCGTGTCGGTGTAGGTGTAGATATGTACTGCAGGGTGTGCCGGCCATAGACAGACAGACACGACGCGTCTGTGGAGTGTGAGTGGATGACTCGCGGTTGGTGTGTGGCTGGTGGATGGATGGAAGAATGGATGGATGGATGGATGGGTGACACACGGAGAGAGAGGGGGACGTTAGATAGATACTTCGCCAGGCCAACCAGGTACTTGTGTACTGACTGCAGGCAGGCAGGCAGAGATATATCAACCAAAGACAGACAGGTAGGGTAGGTCGAAAAAGCGCAAGACAGCAAGACAGCAAGACATGCAGAAACCGATGCACACGCACCGCGCCGCACGCATGGATCACGCCACATTCGCACAACAAATGTATGGTTCAAGGAAAGAGACAGCGCAGCCACGCCCCAAACCTCTCAACCTGCTCAGACGCCTTCCGTCCCTCTCCCTTTAGCCTTGACGTGACGCTGAAAAAACAGGGCCGGGGACGCATGGAACAGGCAGGCAGCTTCGATTCGAAAGTCAGTTCGCTTGTTACCAAATACACACCACACACACGAGAGCCAGGTAGTAAGTACTCCCCACAGTCAGTCAGCCAAGGTGATGCAAAGTCGGTCGGTCTGTCTGTCTGTCTGTCTGTCTGGGTGTTGGTGTTGGTCGGTCGAGGTGGCCGTCGCTTGAAAACCTTTCGGTGAAGGGCCGGCCACCCCACAAACAGCACAGCAGAGACAGACAGACGCCAGCACCAGACAGAAGGACAAGATCAGACCAGGTCACCCACGCAAAGACCTCATGCGATGCATCCATCATCTCACTAGCCGCCCCTAGAGACAGGGGGCGACGCCGTCTCATTCAGGTGGCCAGGCGCACGTAAGGCAGGCAGGTCAGTCACAGGTAGGTAGGTTGGTGCTGTGTGTCTTTCGGTCAGCCAGTCCGTCCGTCCGTACATATCCACAAGACGAAAAAGATAGACATAGCCACATCGACATCAACTGCTGCCTCTCTCTCTCTCTCTCTGGTTGCATCAGGCCGGCCTCTCAGCAGCAGCATCCCAGCAGCAGCAGCATCAGCAGCATCAGCAGCAGCAGCAGCGTGGGTATCTCACACACTGATCTGAGCACTACCGTACATTAGGTGTTAGGTTCGTTCCACGAGAGATTGTGTGAGTAAAAGGGGAAAAAACCAGGCATCCAAGCAAGCAACAACCGACAAACACTTCTCGCGTCCTGTCTGGCACATCACAACACAACAAAGGGATTCAAAAGCAGCCACCCAACCACCTCGCCCAACATACCTCCCTCGTATAGACAACAAAATCATACCCATACAGAGACACCGACAGAAAGACAGACACGTGAAAACCTACAAGTCAATCAAGGGTAAACGAGACTGACTGACTGACTGACACCTGCACGCACACACATATAGATGACTCAACTCCCCGCTGAGGCAGAACAAAATCGCTCCCCTGTTCCCTCCCTCCCTCGCCCCCTGTCTCCCTCCCTCCCTCCCGTGGTCCCCAAAATGCAGCAGGGCTCACTTCCCTGAGGGAATGGCGGGCCCGCCCGTGGACGCACCACAGACGGGCCCCATGCAACAAAAGAGGCCCTCTGCCGGCTGATGCAGCCCCACCCCGACCCGCCCCGCCCCCCCAGACTAGGTGTGTGAATGTGTGTGTGGTGTGGTGTGGTGTTATGTCATGACGAATGCAGTGGTGTGCATGGCATGGCAATGGCATCACAGAACAGGGGACGTACTTTACTTACACATGCATGCACGCCTGCCTGCCTGCATGTATGAGCCGCAGAAAAATCATCTTCCTTCCCTCCCTCCCTCACTCTGACTGCCAGACTGACTGACACCTGTCCGTCTGTACCAACCTTCACCCATTCGTTCGTTCATTCCGACCATACCTACCATACGCAAGTGACAGGTTGAGCGACGTAAGCCAAGCACGTAAGCAGGCAAGCAAGCAAGCCAGCAGGGGGGCGGTCTCAAGAGTTCCCTGGCCAGGGAGGGAGTGGGAAGCATACACGCCATGGACCATAGACACACAGACAGACAGACAGACAGATCCACACATCCATCCATCCATAAGAGGGTCGACGAAACGTCTTAAAGAAAATACAGCACAGCCACCACCCCAAGAGCAAGTGGCGCGTGCAAGGAGTTGCGGGCATCTACCTGCCGCCCAGAGATCGCAAGCGAGAGAGGAGTGAGTCAGTCAGTCACGTAAACAGCTAGAAAGGAGCTGAGGGAGGGACGGCCAAGTGAGAGATGGGATGAATGGCCACAAGGGCGAGCGCCACACCACACAGGCGGCTAGCGAGGTAGGTAGCCAC